TTTTGTTCAAAAAAACAACAGAATTTACTATCAGTGCTCCTAACTTGATTTCAGTTGTAAACTTTTATATATGAATACTTCTGTATCTAAAATATCCCTTCTATAGTTGTATTTTAATTAAGGTAGATATGTATTAAATTCGATCATTGTGTTACGTAATAATATGGCTATCTTCTGGTCATATAATCTGGTAGAATTAACTAATGTTTCTGAGGTCGTCATTTTGGCGACGAATTATTCATCGCCCTGAAACGCTCCTAAACTTCTACCAGACTACACGGCGCTACAACCCATAAGACAGCCATCTTCGTACTCACAGCCGTGAGAATCTGAAATCACACAAGTTTTCCTTGTATTTAAAGAATTGATCAACGCAGAGACATCATAATTTGTTTCGAAACTAATAAAAATTATTCCGCATTTCAAGTTCGAGTGGCGGGTTCATGTAAACACGATAATGAATCTTCATGACCCACTGTGTGTCTATCAAGTTTACAAAAACTACTCTGCTCCACGGTAGTAATTAGTTAGTTAATTAGTTACTATAACGCAGGAAGCACACACACACACCCGATTTACGAGTAATTCGCTAATGGACACATTTTCCCCCACATCCCAGGAGTCAACACATTAGCTAATACCAAGATCACGCTTACGCAAACTTTAACGGTGGATCCGAACGACGACATCTCCTGCTTCGTATTCTAATCTCGACCCCAGAAATCGGCTGTATCACTGATGTCTCTCTTGGATGTCCTACGTATCTTCACAGTAAATTCAGGGACGTAATAGACCCTAAAACAGGCCACGGTCACTTTACTTCACGTCCTTTCCAATTTATCGTTCGTAATCACACTGTCAACAGACAGCATGTAACTTAATCAGCTGATCAAGCGTCGTTAATTAAATCAATAACAAACAATACCCAGGAGACAGACACGGGCAGTATAATTAGTGTCAATGCGCAGAGCCGATGCAAATGCCTCCCGATTACAAGGCAGTTAGTTCGATGTCACCAGCTGATATATCAGCTGGTGTGTGTCACTCGTTAATGACACTAGGTGCCGGTTACAAGGGTGTAGCATGACTTGTTTTTGAGAGATCTCCTGTGAGAATTTTGTTCCGGACTTAGAAATTTCATGGTTTTCATCAGTCATCTAGTCGAAAGTTAAAATTATATCTTCCTAAGAATGTATCTTTCCTTACTGCCTAATAAAATAATTATATTCATATGCCATTCGAAGCTGAAGGGCAGAGAAAAGAGAGGTTTCTGCCCCGGGTTTGTCCAAGGCTTTATCAGTAACGTTTACCATGATTTGAATACATTTTGTAACTGGTTTTATGCTGGGCTTTTCAGCCGTTTTGTACAATCGCAAACAATTTAAAATACTATAGAATCGGGTAGGATTTATCGTAAGAATGTCTGTTTGATACCCCAGCGCCTAACACCGTAATCTAAAGTAATTTTTAATTATCGAATTATACACTAAATATAACATAAATTACACAAAGTTTGTACATCTATATATTTGTACATCAGGGAAGCAGGTTTTATTCATGATTTCTGCCTCGAAATTCTTGCCGACTCAGGAACGCGAAATAACAATGTTGAACGCCGTAACGAATCCACCCTCCTCCTCACCCCTCTTTTCCGTGCCGTGTGTCCACGCTGTCATCCGTGTATCACCCCCTACTACACCCTGCATACCCCCAAGCCTGATAAGATTATTTCCACATCCTTAAAGCGAAGACGCACTGAACCGCGTTCAAAAGAAATTTATCCTCCCCACACACCGTTTATGGTCGTACGTCTCACTTTATGAACACTGCCGTCTTTATCCCGATAGGAGTTACAAAGCTTTGCGCACCTGACCTGGGACAGCTCAGTCAACATAGTGGACGACCAAGGTTCTATTCCCGACATCCTTCTGAAGCCCGCCTCGCCAGCTCTTCAATACGTAAGAAGATCTCTTTTCGAGGATGTAAAGCGGTCGAAACATAGAGCTGTCCACTCGCCCATACATTGGGGAGACATTAACCCATGAATCTATACCTCCATTACCCCATATGCTGTCTTGTTGCGGAGCTTAGGAATAGGGACAACTTTAAATATGGCTATCTTCTAGGTTGTTGCGCAGTGTGGTCTACTAGAATTTTACCGAAGTTTCGTAGGTCATTGCTGCCTCCATTGTCATGGTTCATTTTCGAAATTTTTAGAATGAGTTTACGTACGGTAATTTGTTAGGACAGACTCGTCTTAGTTTGATTATTTTTCCAATAAAGAAAAGACTAAAGTGATTAAGAATACTATACTTTCTTGCAGAGGATGGTTCTAGAGGATCTAATTTAATTTCAGTACTATTCGTTATCTTACAAAAATATATTTAACTTTAATGGCAATAGGGAAATACAATTCCTTTTAAAAAACGTTGGATCCGAAAATAACCATATAAAAAGTACTTTAAGAATAATCCAGGTCGTTTTAGACAGGGATAAAATTATAAGTGCTGAGGGGTACCAGCATTTGGTGTTAAATATTTTATGTTTCTCGAGTAACGCGTAATGTCAGGAGCGATAATTAGCCGCAATGTGATACACCATTTCCTAATTTAAATAAACGAGTTTCAACTTTATATTGGGCACAGCTCTTTATCCCGAGTAGAGCAACATTATTTTAAAAAAGAAAAATATGACCTTAATTCTTATCTCTTATGTAACTGGTTAAAAAAAAATTTACCCAAGAAGACATAGATATAAACTCCATTTTCTTAAACATTTATTTTAGAAAAACCTTCAGCGTATACTACGCAAGATAAAGAATACGCGGAATAATATTTTAAAATCACCTTGCCCTTACCACAGATTTTTATACAGATTTTATGTCATGAATTGTTCATTTTGCATCTCAGTACGAGTGTCTAGTCCTAAACTGACCAAAAATGACGATGGCCATCGAGTGTTGGACGCTTCTGCGCATCTCCTGAGCCAAACAGCTTCAGAGCGCTGGTGTGTACTTCAAGCGTGAAACAGACGCCTCATGTATCTCCCCCCTCCTCTCTGGTCACTCGGCCCTGTTCGTATCGGTCACCTTACTCTTTCGTGTTCTGAATGTCTCGGTTCAATCTCAGCCCAAAGACTGCCAACCATGACTGCTTTCTTTCGTGGTTTTCTTCAGTTCCTACACGTAAATAAATGGATTGTACCTCAAATCATACCGCGATCGCTGTCTTTAATAGCCTTCAAAATTTATCAATTAAAGATTCGGCACTATAATCTTCGCTAATGCCAACGTCATTAAATAAACCATTAGCAAACAAATCAGACAACTGTCTTGGATATTTTGCGGTTCTTTTGTTAACCCGTCATTTCTCATTTTCTGCATAGTTACTTTATCCTTCACGCCTCGTTTACTGCCTCTCTGCATGACCTACGATATCACTGCATAGACGACAAGTAACTGTGCCTACAAATGAACGTCGCTTTCAAGCATCCAAGAATATGCATCAACGTCATCTTCAGGAAAGACATCGCCACGGCAACTTAATACGCACAGCACGTCTCGAGTCCCTCACACTCCGCTTGTGAAGAAAAACACAGCACACAATATCCACAAGTTCCCTTCTCCTCTGGAATTATATTAGCCTCCCGCACGGAGCAAAACGTCTGGTTTGCAGGTTATGTAACGTAACATCAAAAAAAGTACCGCAACACAGAATATTACGAATCATCGAGTCGCTGGCCCTACTTAGTACCCGAAACCTGAACATCACCCCCTGATCGGCTGTCAGAAACAACTAACTACGAATGTATACAGAGTCTTGGACGGAAAGAAACTTGGAAATCTGATATTCTCATCGTAGTGAGGATGTCGACTGTGGTCTGTCACGCGGTATTATGACAAAAAATTCCCCGTTTTCGGAAACCGGAAGACTAATTCGCTAAACCCCGATATATTATAATGACGTGATATATCTAGCTACATTTTATGTTTCCCTTAAATTTCCACTGAATATATCCCATATTATTTGCGCTCTAATGAAAAGATTTTACTTTTATTAACTGAAATATAAAATCACGCCTAAATGTACCATAAAATTAAAAATATCTAGAACACGTTTGAGAATGTAAATTCCTTTACACCAGATGAAATATTTATACCTTCTCGATGTAAATACAAGTCTCGCCATTAGAAAATAAAATAAAACAACTTTCTAGGTGAATCAACCTGAATGCGATGCTAATGCCAAACATGTATTCGCAAAAAAGTTCAGCGCATTATAAGTTTAAAAATATATATTCGGGTTTATTAAATATTAATGAGAGATTCGTTCCGATATTCACTACTTACGCATATTTATTGTTTGTTATCTCTAGTGTCTGAAGTTTTATTTTCAAAGTAATTTATATGTAAAAACCCTCATTCAAAAAAGATTCCCCCCCCCCAAAAGAATAAAGTTATCAATTCTGAAAAAAGGGGCACTGAAATAATAACGCAAGGACTGAAGTACAGTTACCACCAACAACAAACCACTTCACTGATATAACTAGACATATTTAAAATAAATTATAAATATTTTCTGCCGCGTCATATCCATTTTAATGTAAATGTAAGCCTACTTTTTTTACATACATGCATGTTCATAATTTTCTATAATTTAACTAATTTATTAGAATTATATAAGTATGTATGTGTGCAAAAATTAAGTGTAATAAGGGCATATCAGTTTTCGTTTTATCAAAGCATAACACGAGTCTTAACGTGACTTCTATGTAAGTCGAAACACGCAGCTCATGAAATGAGTATTGAGTAACCTTACGGCCTACGCATAAGTTTAAGTGAAAAGTAAATTTGCATTGACTTATTCCCTTCTTACTAAGCACCAAGATTAGTTCGCTCATACTATTACGTAAGCCACAGAATTTCAATACTTTCAATGCAAAGCAAAATGTGTTACAACTTTTTTCCGACCTACGCAAAAAATATGAAAAATGCCACTTACGTTAAGAAGATTGGGGATTCCAAGACTTCACGTAGGTTCAGGTTAATGCTCGGCAGCGTCGCTACAAAACAAACAAACAAACAAACATGAACACTGTTTATAGATTCCATAGGTAAACAAAGTTATGATGTTATGAAATAAATGTACCAAACCTGTTTCGACAACTCTGTACTAAAAACGGAATTGACAGAATTAAAACGAAATAAATCTCACCCCTCAATTATGTTTTCTCAGTAGCCGCATTAATTCTAAAAGCATAGGAAGAGAGCCAAAAGAATTTGGAACTAATTTAATACAAATTAAACATGAATATTAACGCCCCATAAGCGCACAAACTTCAAAAAGAAAATATTAACTCCGTGGTTATGAATGCATACGTAATTTCGGTGGGGAAAACCTCTTAGAAAATACTTCATTAATATTTTCCTCCCAACTACACGTTGTTCCCCCAAGTAGTCTCCTTCCTTCGGGTTATCTCACTAAATTCTTATAATCGTTTATTATATCTATCATGTTTGATTTTGTCTGGATCCATCTCTTTCTTCTTTAATTTGTTAAAATAATATCTGATATATAGAAAAAAAATTACCAATTCCTCATAACGTAACATTTTCCAGCTTCTTGAATCTCGAAATACTTTCCTGTGTTTATATTTATTATTTGATATTATATGATTGCAAGACTGTCTTTAATAGAAAGCCACGCAAACCAGACTCATCATTCAAAAAAAAAGTACCAGTTAATTTTCCCATAAATTCTACTCCAGAAGTTCGCTTTAAGCACCACGACTGAAGTCTAAATGGTAATTATTTGTATTCTTTCGAATTCTCAAAATGAGTCCAATCCAAACTGCATGTAATTATTTTCTCTCGTATTATTCACGGTATATTTATACAATTTTAATTGTGTTTTCTTATCTATATATTTCCTTAACTATCATCTACTTCCTTTGTTTAGTCTACTGTAATACAGCGCCATTTTAACTTCCTCGTTAGTGCCACTGAATCCAGTTCAACATTCCACATTTACGTTTCCTGGCTCAATAAAAGTGGCGATATCAATCATTGTCATAAGGACACATGATCAGTTCAGATTCTGCATTGCTTGAACCACTTCTGCTCAGTCGACTATGCAGCGACCTGCACGTTTTACTGTTCGAGTTGCAGAAACGATGTGGACTGATTGCTGTGGCAATTTAATAAGGTAAGATCATGACGCACAGTTTCTGCGTAGATTAGTAGCTTAAGACTTTAAAACTGGTTGTAACTATACGTACCATCTGCTTTAACACATATCTATCTCTTGCCCACAATTATACGGCGATTATATGTTTCAGCAATGTTGACGATTTGAATTGTTATGCAAAATAATTACTTATTTAACATTTTAAGACCCAGTGATAACTACATGAGCAATCTCCTTTAACAACCAGTAACTCTACTGTGTATTTATGAACTTCGTATGATTCTCACTGTAAACAGAGATTATTTCGAAGATTTCCGTCTTCTGGGTTGTTCTGGTCGATGTTAACCAACGTTTCAGAGGTCATACTGCCTCCATCAGGGCGATGAATATGCCAATAGGATGTGAGGTGCTAGGTTTATAGGCCGGAAAGTGAAAGGTGTAGCCTGCTCCCATTGGCTCGGGGCAGGCTACACCTTTCACTTTCCGGCCTATAAACCTAGCACCTCACACCCTATTGGCATATTTATCGCCCTGATGACGGAGGCAGTATGACCTCTGAAACGTTGGTTAACATCGACCAGACTACACAGCGCAACAACCCAGAAGACGGAAATCTTCATACTCATCGCTGTGAGAACCTCAAGTCTTACAGAGATTATTTCCTTAAACATCATTAGCCAGTTGGCATTTTTAATGGATAAATGTTGTTTTATTTGCGGTACAAACTGAATTTTTAATTATGTACATGAGCTTCGGAATCAAAGTGTTAATTGTGGTTATTCTTATCTCAGTTCACTTGACGAGTAAGCCTGCTTATAAAAGCAACGAGGCAATTTTGTTTATAAATAGGTCGGTTCTCTAACAGCTTATACAAATCCCTAAACATCACGAATTTTTGTTGTTTGTTTGTTACCGTTATTGTTATTACAATGAGCAAACCACATTAGCATGCGTTAACGTCCATACGGACGCAGTTCACTCATTCACACAAAGTTGTTTTAACCTAAATTGCATGCAAGCGCAAATGGCCACAGACGTTGATGCGCCTATAAATCCACAAACAAACAAACAAACAAACAAACAATCTCATCACGTTCAATAAATTTCGCTGTCACTACTGTGCTCTTTACCTGCTACCGCACCCTCGTATCAATTTATTTTACCCATGTTTACCCATATTATTCTCCTTGCGTAATGTCTGTACCTGATTAACACGCATAAAATTGAAATAACTTGTGTATCTGAATTACACACTTTAGGTTTCAGTGGCCGTTCTATTCCTTACAAGTCCACGAGACATGTAGCGCTGTTGCATTGTCCTGGACACGTAGCCTTCAGCTAAGGACTCAGAAAAACCGGACACTTTCGGGGACAATATAGGTGTGGTAATTTGAACTATTCATACTAATATAGAATTTGAGACTTTCGCGGCGAATACAATCCGAGGATCCAGTTACATCTGAACCCTGAAGATGGGGACAGAGTTTGTTCCCGAAACGTCGGTTTACTACGGTAACCATTTAACGCGGCTGATTGCCCGAGAAGATTTTATTGATTATTCATATTAAATCAAACACCTCAGCCCTTCTAGATTTCTGCCAAGATTTTCTGAACAGCTCAACTCCTAATTAGATTCCTTTCATCCCAAAGTAGAGTCAAGAACGGCTACAACCGACAGAACAAAATTTAAGTTCCGAAAACAAAAGATAGATGATAGTCACATTCAGTGAAACAACGAGTAGAGATAGTCTCTTTCGCCATGTCATCCTGTCCATGTGTCGCTGCTGTAAATTTGTTTACGGCGTGTTTCTCTTTAGTGATATATAATGAAAACGTGTGCCTGGTTTACCTCTCCAATATAGGTCTTACTCCCATTTTACATTAACTTACTATGGTTGTCTTGAAAGAAGAAATTGTTCTACAGTAAAACACAGTGAAATATTCGAAGTCGAACAGAATGAACCCCTTTTAAAATGCATGATTATGTGTATACTATAATAACAGGCAACATATACTTGCCCAAAACTTGCCCCCTTTTAAAATGCATGATTATGTGTATACTATAATAACAGGCAACATATACTTGCCCAAAACTTGCCTTGTGTTGGCGAGATTTCAGATCCTAATGGTGACATAACAGGCAACTTTGTCTCATGCTGCATACACTTTTAGTAAAATTAACTTTATTTATAAGTTACGAAATCTTGACTCGAACATAATACACTCCTATATTGACAATATATGGGTACACCTGTCCGCTACGGTTTCACTTCTGACGTTATTAGCTCAATGGTGGATCGTTTTTTAAGCGTTGATTTTAATAGAGTGTAAATAAATATGCAATAAGCATTTACAGCACAGCGGTAATTATATTTACCACCTGCTATAATAATTATTGTATTTTCTCCCACAGAGTGTAACTATTTATTACGTATAACAAAATACACAGCAATTACTTCATTAAGCATGATTAACCAAATTGTCTTTGTAAATATAAAGTGTGGTGTCTTGTTTGAGATAGGGACTGAATTTTTAAAATATTATTTAGATGAGTTTCAATTCAGAGGGCCAATAATTAGTGTATTTATTTAGTTTCACGTGCTAGTGTACACAGAGAATGAAATCTTCATAATTGAGTCTCCATTATACGTATATTTTCTTTATAAATGCAAATGATTTACTGCTATTTATTACTTTTAGAACACGTTAAATAATATCGTATTTGAAGTTTCTGAAACTTCTTTCCATGCCGAAGGTTTACGACTTCTGACGTACATTTTAGGCTCGAGCAAACAATCTGTGAAGAGTATAAACAAATAGAATATACTTGAAAAGAATGCAAGAACACGAAGTGCAAAGCATAAAGCCTCAAACCCTGCACTTGAATATTTATAGCTACGCTAATCAACAAGATTATTCACAGAATATATTCTACATCTGACATCTCCATTATTTTAAACTAAAGAACATTTGACATACAAATTACAGTCTCAGATAACAACCCGGTAATTGCTCATAAGCCCACACTACAGTAAACTACATTAGGTGTTCTATATGTGAGTTGAACCAGCGAACGAAAAAAATAGGAGACTGTGTGTTTACGTTTGTCTATCAGACCGCAAGTTATAAATTAGGACAAAAGTAATGAATTAATGTCTATTAAATTTCGTAACAGAGAACGGAATCTAAAAAGCGTCGATGGAGCCAATGACATGTATCTCTACAATATAAAATACCTAGGCGTAGACGGGAATATCATAGTGCGCCTTAGGAATGTTTGGATTGTAGATTGGATTAATCTGACTCGGAACAAGGACCGATGGAAGGATTGTGTGAACACGGTAAAAGCGGACGCTGTGGCAGGCCTACACAATTTTATGCAATCTCGGTCCAAAAGTCATAAGGCATTAAAAGTGGTAAACCGGCATGAATGGAATTTTCCTCATTTATCGTTCTTATTAACGCAGTGTCCTGCTTAAAATCTGAAAACTGACAGCTCAAACTTTTCTCTTGGCCGCTTGAAAAAAAAACAATATAATTAAACACATGAGCACAGAATAGTAGGAAAAAATGGGTACGTGTCTGTTTTACACAAAATAATATTTCCACTGTCCTGTTCTTTATCAGAATGGTCTAATTACTTTTATAACCCCTATCAGCACACTGGACGACCACCCTCATAACACCCATGTTCGTCGCTTTGTTGCGGAGAAAGTTGGCTTAAAATGTGCTCCGCGGGGAAAATTATACTCGATTCCTCCTTAATTTTAGAAATAGCGGTTGTTATAAAGGATGATTAGTCAGCACAGAAACCGCGTTTTGTGAGAACATGACATTACAGAAGAAAGGGAGGGGGGTTCTTTTATTAAACGTAGA